TCAGGCTCTGTAGTCACAGGGAATCTGTGGCCAACTGGCAAACTAGTTGCCAAATGCCTGCCCCAGCGTTTTTGTCTGCATCCTTGAGCTTGATAGCCGGTAGCGCATAGTGCATTCATATGGACGCGTGTCTGACTGATCACGGTAATTGAGCTGACGCGTGACAAGCAATGCTGTCATACATATGGCAAGCAATGCTGTCATGTTGACGAGTGGCATTGGGATTGCTGGGCTGATGGGTGGAGGACCAGCATTCCACTTTATGCACTTCTACATGCCAGCGCTTCCTGCATTACTAGGCGACGGCCCTGTCTGACACATACCATTCTTGAATTGAGTTGCGAGCGAGGAAGTCAATGATTGTAACTTTCCTTGGTTTAGTGCTAGTGTTCTGTGTGGCACCTTCGCGCCCTCCTTAGACGATCTTGTCAGGACAGGCAGCCTGCGTTTTGACGATTGGCTGGCTTCTCGCTCGTCCCTACAGGCCGAATCCGTTAGTGGGGCTTCTGCGGGGCAGCTGGGTAACGATTGGCGTGGATTTGGGGTTTGAAGCTGTACCGAAGAGCTTTTCCGAACACTGGGTGACATTGCTGGGGCGGTAAGCCTGTGGAGTCTGCGTGGCCTCTGGGATCACCATGGGAAAAAGGGGTCTCTTCGGAGCTTTCTGGGAGAAGCCTGTAGCAGCTCTTCGAAGGAAGCGGAAAACATCTGCCTGGCTTTCTTGCGAGCAGCGTCTTGGAGCACGTCTTGAGCGGCAAGGACTTACGCTGTACACCCTTGGCACCAGTTCGCTGCTGGGACGGGAAATCGTACACTAGCAGCAGCGGGCAGGCGGAGGGACATTCCAGACGCTTCGCGTAACCTCATCAGCGACCTTGGGCCGATACCCGCTTGGCGGCAGTACTGGCGCTTGGGCCTGCGTGTCCTTTCATCGTTGCTTCCTGGCCTGTGACTGGTTTCGGAAACGATGGCTGACGCACCGGCCCCACCATGGGCAACGGTGTGGATCGTGGAGTGAGAGTTCTGTAGGGCCCTGCCTTTCCTTTGCCCCTGTCTCAGCCGACCCCGCGTACGGCGGTGGTACCTCGTGCTGAGTGGTTCAGCCTTCAGCGTGTCGCTTCGGTACTACCTGTCTGATGGGCTAGGTTGGCTTCGCGGACTGGCGCCGACCGGGCGACTCTTCCGCTGCATAGCACTGCGGTCTGCTTCACCTCGGTGTGGCTGGCGCCTAGGTGCGTTCGCCTTAATGTGGAGCATTTTGCTCAATGCGTGTGCACACCTCGCATTCTCTGCGACGTATTACTGCAGGTGCGTTGCCTGTTGTAGCTAATTCGCCTCGCCTGCTGGCCCAGACGACGCCTTCCGCTCCCTGTCCGCCGCCTCGGAGCCGCCGACCAAAAAGGTAACCTCATCAACCCATTCAGAATCGATGCCCAGGCGAGTTGCCCTGATCAGGGATGTGTAGGAACATGCAGTGGAATAGCGGGCTGGGGAAGCCGTCGTACCCCAAGAGGGGGAGGATGGAGGAGGAATCGGAGGAATCGGAGGAGGAGGAGGAGGAGGAGGAGGAGGAGAAGGAGGAGGAGGAGGAGGAGGAGGAGGAGGAGGAGGGAGGATGAGGAGAGGGAGGAGGAGGAGGAGGAGGAGGAGGAGGAGGAGGAGGAGGAGGAGGAGGAGGAGGAGGAGGTGGAGTCGGACGAGGAGGGGAGGAGGAGTAGGAATGGAGGGGAGGAGGGGGGGATGGGGGGAAGAGGAGGGGGGGGAGGGAGAGGAGGGGGAGGAGGAGGAGGAGGAGGAGGAGGGAAGTGGAGGGAAATAAGGGCGAGCAGAATGGTCAGATGCCTCTTGGGTGCCTCCCGTTTGGATGTCTCTTGAAGGCTTCCTGGAGTCCCCTTGGGGTGTTTTGGGGGCCTCTTGGCGGTTCGGGTTCTCTTGGGTCGTCTTGGGTGCCTGGGGGGAGCATCTTAGGGCCTCTTGGTGGTCTCTTGGGAACCTGTTGGGAACCTCTTTGGGGCCTCTTGGGGTTTCCTGGGCGCTTCTTGGGGCCCTCTTGAGGCACTCTTGGAAGGCTTGGGGGCTGCCTTGGGGCCATCTTGGAGGATATCAATCAACGAGAAGGAGCTGTCAATTATGCCCCCCCCCCCCCCCCCCCTTTGGAGCCCCCAAAGTCGCCTCGTGGGGCCCTGTTGGGGCGCTCTTGGGGCGCTCTTGTGCGCTCCTTGGGCTGCCTTGGGGCCATCTTGGGCCTCTCTCGGGGCCCTCTCGGGCTATCTGGCGCCATCTTGAGGCCTTGGGGGCCAATCGGAAGCGAAAACGGATTTCGGTAGGGTTTGAACGGGTTTTGGCCTCGTGGGGGCCTCCTTGGGAGTCTCCGTGGCCACTTGGACCCATCTTGGGGCCATCATGGGGCCTCTTGGAGGCATCTTGGCGGCCGTCTTGAACTAGCTTGGGCCATCTTGCGCCATCTTGGATGCCATCTCGAAGCATCTGGGACCCTCTCGGACCCCTCTTGAGTCACACGCGCCGAAGGATACACCCGAAAAGCCCAAACCCTTCAAAACCCTTGTGTGTTTCAATGTTTTTGTTGATCAAAGAGGGGGGGGTCTTCAATTAGGCCCCCCCTTTGGAGGCCCGAACGTCACCTCTTAGGGCCCTCTCGGGGGGCTCTTGGGGCGCTCTTGGGTGGTCTTGGGCCCATCTTGGGGCCTTCTTGGGTCTCTCTTGCGTCCTTCTTGGGCTCGTTTGGAGCCATCCTGCGCCCTCGGGAGCCCATCCGACGCGAAAGGGCGAAACGGCCAACATTATCGATTTCCTTGGGTGTGTGAAGCATTTTGGCCTCGTGGGGCCCTCTTTGGGAGGCTCCGACGCCACTTGGACCACTCGTGTACTGTGGGAAGCCGTATTGAGCGATCTTGTGTTATGGTTGGCCATCTTGGAGGTCATCTTGGGATCTCTGACGCCTTCTGGGGGCCTTCTTGGGCCATCTGGTGCGCTCCAACACCTCGCGGGGCGCCCCGTCCAGGTCCAGGAGTAGGGGGTAGGGGGAGGGGTCAAGACACCCTGCCCGTCCGCAAGCCGTCTCGCTCACTCCCACCCGCCCTCCCAACACATAAGTAACACCCGAGCAGCAGCATGTTCAGCGGTAGTCTTTGGATAGGCACGTCATGGGACCAAAACAGACCCCATGTGCGCAACGCTAGGGCGAGGTGGGCCAGGCGTGCCAGGCGCGCGACGCGCGCCAGGTGCGCCAGGCACCTCTGTGGTTCAAGCGTGCCGAGCACACCTGGTGCGCTAGATGCGCCACGTGATCCACGTGCGCCATGTGTACCGCATGCTCCAGTCGCGCCAGGTGCGCCATGTTCGGGACACGCGCAGAGTGTGCCAGGTGCGCCTCCGCACGTGGCAGTACACATCGGTAAACATGTCGCCCCCACCACCCTTATCGAAAACCAGCGCGCAATCGCGGCGGGGTGGCCATCATGGCGTCTGGTGGGCCTGCACATAGCAGGAAATATGCCAGCATCGCCGCCGCCCCAGTCAAAAGCCAACGCATAGTGATCGCGGGGTGCACGCGCATTATCCAGATTTTGCCTCGAAGTGCTTTTTGTATTGTTGTGTGGCAGGGATGCTGGCCCTGCGCGCAGCAGACAACATGCGGCACCCCCGCCATCCCAGTCAAAAATATCGTGGCCAAAAGCACAACCATATGCGGTTGTGAGTATCGCCGTTGTGGGTATCGCCTTCGGTGTATCTCCTTACGGGGCCACGAAGCGTGTAAAAGGGTGCGGCGGAATGGGGCGGGGGCGCATGCGGGTGCCGCCATTGGATCTTTCGGTGGCGCCCCAAATGGGGCCACGAACTGTGTGAGGGGTGTGCCCAAATGGAGCGGGGCCGCCATGCGTGAGGGGCGTGCTGATATGAGCGCGGGGAGGCGCATGTGGTCACAGCCGTTGGGGCCTTCGGTGGAGCTCCTCATGGGGCCACGAAGCGCCGTACTGGGTGGCGCGGGACGCATGTGGTCACAGCCACTCGGGCTTTCGGTGGAGCTTCTTATTGGGCCACGAAGCGCTGTATTGGGTGGCGCGGGGCGCATGTGGTCACTGCCTTGGGGGCCTTCGTTGGAGCCCCATGGGGCCACGAAGCGCCGTATTGGGTGGCGCGGGACGCTTGTGGTCACAGCCACTGGGGCCTTCGGTGGAGCTCCTCATGGGGCCACGAAGCGCCGTACTGGGTGGCGTGGGGCGCATGCGGTCACAGCCACTGGGGCCTTCAGTGGAGCTCCCCATGGGGCCACGAAGCGCCGTACTGGGTGGCGCGGGACGCTTGAGGTCACAGCCACTGGGGCTTTCGGTGGGGTTCCCTATGGGGCCTCGAAGCGCCGTATTGGGTGGCGCGGGACGCATTTGGTCACAGCCACTGGGGTTTTCGGTGGATCTCCTCATGTGGCCACGAAGCGCCGTACTAGGTGGCGCGGGACGCTCGTGGTCACAGCGGGACGCATGTGGTCACAGCCGCTGGGGCCTTCGGTCGAGCTCCCCATGGGGCCACGAAACGCCGTACTGGGTGGCGCGGGACGCATGTGGTCACAGCCGCTGGGGCTTTCGGTGGATCTCCTCATGGGGCCACGAAGCGCCGTACTGGGTGGCGCGGGACGCATGTGGTCACGGACACTCTGGCTTTCGGTGGAGCTTCTTATTGGGCCACGAAGCGCTGTATTGGGTGGCGCGGGGCGCATGTGGTCACAGCCACTGGGGCCTTCGGTGGAGCTCCTCATGTGGCCATGAAGCACCGTACTGGGTGGCGCGGGGCGCATGTGGTCACAGCCACAGGGTTTTCGGTGGAGCCTTACGGGGCCACGAAATGCCGTACCGGGCGGCGCAGAACGCATGTGGTCACTGCCTTTGGGGCCTTCGGTGGAGCTCCCCACGGGGCCACGAAGCGCTGTATTGGGTGGCGCGGGGCGCATGTGGTCACAGCCACTGGGGCCTTCGGTGGAGCTCCTATGGGGCCACGACACGTTGTACTGTGTGCGCTGAAACGGTGGACATGCGGAGGGCAGAGGCAGGGATGGGAAGAGGGAAGATGTGGAGGAGGAGGAGGAGGAGGAGGAGGAGGAGGAGGAGGAGGAGGCGAGAAAGGACGTTTGAAGTACGTTTGGGAGGAGGAACGCGGGGCGCTGTCACGTATAAACGAGGACCCAACGCCACAGGATGGTTGGGAATAACACAAAGTGCTCGCGGCCCCCCCGTCATGACCCAAGATTTTGTCCCACTGTGGATTTCACAATGTTCTTTGACAGGGATGGTGGGGGGGGGGCTGGCGTTGGTCTTGGTTGGCTGCTGGTCGCCTAGGGGAGGTGTTGATTCTCATTTATTAGGGAACAGTGGTAAACCCTTCCCCACAGGGGAAGAAGGGGTGGTTGGAAGAGGAAACGCCCAAAACCACTCACGCCCAGAGGGCTGGTGGGATTTGGCGAGGAGGAGGAGGAGGAGGAGGAGGAGGAGGAAGAGGAGGAGGAGGGAGGAGAAGGATGGTGACAAAGAGGGGAGGATGATGGGACACGAGGTGTATCGAAAGCCTGGCGTACGAGGAGACGTGACTGCTGGAAGCAGGGGGAGCAGAGGGACAAGGATGATGAGAAGGAGAGGGATAGGCACAAATACGTCAGCGACATTGCCTCTAACACCGCAGTGTGCAGCACCGACCGAGACCAGTAGCGGCGCCGTGCAGACCTGGGACCTGGAGAATGCCGCGCCTCCTCGCCCGCTGCCTCCTCTCCTCGCTCTTCCCCCTTCCCTGCCCCCTCCTGCTCGCGAGCGACAGGGTCGGAGTTGGCACCCGTGGCGTCGGTCTGGCACAGCTCGGGTGATGCCCTCTCTCTCTCTCTCCCTCTCTCCCTCAGCTGCTTTTGGTGTGCTCACCTCCCGACCTTTGATGGCGCCGCCCATCGTTGCGGCCATCCCTGCTCCCTCCTCTCTCCCCCCCGCGCTGCCAGGCACGGCCGCGCTGGAGACCTTTATCACGTTCGGGTCGCAGAGCCGCAACGCGCAGATGGCCTACAACGCCCAGGGTGCCAGGCCCGCCGTGGAGCTGTTCAGCCCCTGCCGGCCCTGGGGCCCCGGGGCGCCGCTGTTCGTGCTCAGGAACTTGTCGGGCAGTGCCACGTGTGTGGGGGGGGGGGCACGAGGGGGCCACCGCGTCCTCGAAGTCGAAAGCCTTGGAGGAGGGCGGACGAGGAGCGAGGGGGCATTAGGGCGCTTCTGCTCGTCCTCGGGAGGTTCTCGGGGTCCAGGCGGGCCCGTTTCTTTGAGGAGGTGGCCACCCCCTTGTTGTGACCCCACCGGCACTGCCTGGAGGAACTTCTGCGGCATGAGCGGGATCCGGTGGCTGAGCCCCCGCTTCCAGTCGGCGCTGCAGCCCGTACTGCCTGTCGGGGCACGGGAGCTTGTCTCCGACCTCCTCCCGGGGGCGTCCAAGAGAGGGGGTGAGGACCAGGGGTGCGTGGGCATCCTGTCCAGGGCAATGTACACATTGTTCATTTCTAGTTCTTCGAACAGTCATTGATTTGTTTTGGGGCCAAGATCCTTTCATTTCTAATTGTTCTATCCTGGGCCTCTTCCTGGCCACTGGGGGGCCAGGAACAATTAGAAACGAGCACAATTAGAAATGAGCGCGATTAGAAATGAACGACGTGTACTCTCCTAGATCGCATGGTGCATGGCCTCTTCTTCTTCTTCTTTCCCTGCTCTCCCCGCTCCGCCCTGGTCCGCGCGCGTGCCTCGTGCCATGCTGCGCGAACCGCTGACCCCCCTCTTCCCAGTCTCCTCTTCGGCGCACCCGGTCCTCGCATCTTCGCTGACGTGCGCGGTGTCGGCCCCGCTGAATCTTGCGTGGACGTACGTGGTCACGACCCCGAGCCTGTGGACCGCCACCGCGCAGGAGCGCTGCTGGGGCGTGCTCGCGTTCCTGCGGCGGCAGTACGTGTCGGACTCTGGTGGGCTGAGCCGCCTGGCAGCCAGGGACCTGTCCGTGCGCTGCATCTACATCGCCAGCTGCTTCACCATGTTCGCTGGCATCGAGCGCCTGTGTCTGTCTTGCTGGCCGTCCTCGTGCTGAAAATGGCGATGCGCCGCCCGGCGCTAAGCGGGCGGCGGCTTCGCATCCTGGCTTCTTCGCCCGCGATCGCACCAGAGTTCAGTTCGTTGAATCTTCACGCCTCTGCCTTCTCTCCCGCTCCCCGCTTCTGTCCCTGTCCATGCGCCAGAGAGTAGCTGTTCTCAGGCACAAGGCATTACAGGTTCTCTGTGGAGCTGGCAGAAAAGACCTCGTTCCGAGGGGCCACGGAGCAGGGCCCCCCAGGGTCACAACGAGGGGTCACAACCGACGACCAACCGAGTCAGATCTCAAGGTCCACGTTGCCACAAGGCCATGGGAGGGGCTCGAGTGCGCCACTTTGAGCACCTCCAAACGGTAATTCGATTGTTCTGACCAGCTACGCGCCGTCCCGTCCTTGATCGGAGGCCGTCCGCGATAGGTAAGCATGTAGTGAAGCAGAGATGCCTAAATTTGTGCTCTTGGAGTTCTTTTTTGAAAGGTCCTGCGGTCCTTATGGGGCTCTCTTGTCCCCCCCCTCCCGGAACCTTCAGCACCACCTCTTGGAGCCCTCATGGGGCGCTCTCGGGCGCTCATGGGGCCGTCTTGAGGGCCTCGTGGGCCCCTCTGGGGGCTCTCTTGGGCGATCTTGGGGCCGTCGTGAGGCCTCAACAGCCCATTGGACGCGAAAAGGCGAGAAGGCAACACACACACACACACGCACACACGCACACAACGGTTTTCTTTGCGCTTCTGAATGATGGAACTATCTTGTGGCTCTCTTGGAGCCTCTTGGAGGCATGGAGGCCAGCTTGAACCATTTTGAGCTATCTTGGGCCGTCTTTGAGGCCATCCTGGAGCACTGGAGGCCCTGGTGAAGCCATCTCGGGCCATTTTGGGCCATTTTGGGCGCTCTGACCTCTCGCGACCCCCCCATAAACCTCAGGGAGGGGAGGGGGAGGCTACCCCTCCCCGAAGGGAAGAGGGTTTTTGGAAAAGGAACAACCAGATCATCAGACCACCTGCGTCCAGAGGGCTGGTGGGATTTCAGATTGGAGGGCTGAAGTGGAGACAAGAGAAAGCCCATCTCACGAAACCGATCATCTCTCCCTGAGGGTATCCTAGATGAGCCCGGCGCGACCCCAACTAGGGGAAAGCTTCCTGAGTGGTATTGCTCTGCCTTGCTCTGCATTGCTCTGCATTGCTTTGCACTGCTCCGCATGTATTTGCCTTGCTTGGCGTTGCATGGCATTGCCTGGTATTGTTTGCAACTACTGCTTTGCATTGCGTCGCATGGCTTTGAATTGCTTGGAGTTGCGTGGCATTGCTTTTCGTTACTTGTCGTTGCTTGGCGTTGTTTTGCATTGCCCAGTGTTGCTTTGCATTGCATGGCGTCGCTTTGAGTTGCTCTGCGTGGCTTTGCATTGCTTGGCATAGACTTGCATTGCTTTTCAATGCTGGGCATTGCATGGTATTGATTGGCATTGCTTTGCATTGCTCGGCGTTGCTTGGCAGTATTTGCATTGCTTGGTATTGTTCTGCATTGCTTGACGTTCCTTGGCCTTGCTCGGCCTTCCTTGGCATTGCTTGGCATTGCTCGGCGTTGCTGTGCATTGCTTCGCATTGATTAGCGTTGCGTGGTTTGGTGCTGAATGGCGCTGCTTTGCGTTGCCTGGTGTTGCTTAGCATTGCTTGATGCTGTAGGAAACAGGATTGAGCAACCCGAGGAATACAGTAAGGACGCAAGGCCAATACCAAACAACCTGAGGAATGCAGGACAACCGTGTTAGGCCGCGTTGACCCCCAAACAGTGTGCTTCTAGCAACTTATGTTGTGCACTCTATATTGCGCAATCTATGTGGTGCACCCTAGGTGATGCACCCTATGTGTTGCAATATGTGTTGTGCCACCTTGGGTGCAATCTATGTTGTGCAATCTGTGGTGTGCACTTTGTTGTGTGCAATGATGTGCAACCTATGTGGTGCATTATGTTGCGTGTTATCGATGTTGTGCAATCTGCGTGGTGCAAACTATGCGGTGCAATCTCTGGTCTGTAATTTATGTTGTGCAATCTACGCGGTGAAATATGTGTTGTGCAACATAGGTGTTGCAACCTATGTGGTGCAATCGATGCGGTGCAATTTACTTGCCGAGTCTGGAATTGTCAATTCCACTGCTCGTGCGATCCTCCCACCCACCCGCCCGCAACTTGGTTTGCAAAACCGATGCGGGAGCGATTGCGATGAGTGCTGGGTGTTGGCTGGTGCATCTCTGCGGCCGCGCTAGCCCGCGAATGCTCGCGCGGGCAGCGGTCAGCTAGTTTGGCGCGACCGACGCGAACGCGGTGGCGCTGACCGCTCGGCGCGTCCCAGCGGGCACTTCAGTGCGAGTCGGCGACTTGGGCGGGCGCGGTATCATGGCAACGTCGACAACGGTAGACCCGATGATGATAGTAGCGATGCCGGTGGCGATGCTGACAGCGACGACGGGGCAGCCAGTGACGGCGCCGATGCTGATCACGCCGACGACGATGATGGCGTCTTCGCGTCGGTGATGAAGGTTTTGGAAGGAATTCGAAGTGCGCGCGCGGCAGACTCGCGAGAATGGCTCGCAAGGTATTATTTGACATGGATCGTGCCACTCCAGCACGTTCGCAAGGGCGTTCGAACGATTTCGACATGCGCGCGCGCGAAGCCCGTTTGGTAGAATTTAATGAACGTGTTCAAGAACTTATGGTTCCCTTCAGAATTCGCAAGAGCGCGGGCGCACGCTTTTGTTGAGCATCCGGTTTGCGAAACCGTTATTTTCATATGTTTTTTTGGACACTCGATTTTGAGATGCTTCCGGCACCGAATGTTTTTGCAGGGATTCCGGCATGCGCGCGCGACGACGCGCGCGTGTGCACTTCGTTCAATTCTTTTGCAAGGGATTGTTGGAAACTCATGGTTTTTGATCAACGAGTGCGCGCGCATAGTTTTTTTGCAAGGGAACCGAGGGGGGCCGGTACCAGCCTGGCTGGGATAGTATGAACTCGCAGGTAGGATGGACATGGGGTCAGAATCGTTTGAATTTTGCATAGGCTCCCCGCGATTCGATAAGTCCGGGGGCGAGGGTGGTAGAACCTATTTCCTTTAGAAAGGGGAATCTATGCTATGCAATCTGCTGGGAGCAGCACAGGCTGTTTGCAATCCAGGTTATGTCGTCGATCTTGTGCAATCTATGTGGTGCAACCTGTGCAGTGCAATCTATGGTGTGCAACTCACTCTGCTGAACTTGAAATCGTCATCTCCACTGCTCGCGCAAACATCCCACCCACCCACCCGCAACTTGGTTTGCAAAACCTCTTAAGACCGACTACGACGATACCGACGACAACGACTAGGACGACACCGGCGACGTCTCCGACGATTTCGACGACGACAACGACGCCGACGCCGACGACGACGACGACGCCAACGAAGGCGACGACGAGGGAGGAAGACGGACGACGACGGCGACAACGACGACAACGACGACAACGACGAGGGAGAAGGGAGGACGGCGACGACGCGAACGACGACGAAGGAGGAAGGACGGCGACGCCGACGACGACAACGACGAGGGAGGAGGGAAGACGACGACGACAACGACGACGACGACGGCGACGAAATAGGAGGGACGACGACGAGACGCCGACGACGGACGACGACGACGACGACGTGGGAGGAGGAGGAAGGACGACCACGGCGACAACGACGACGGAAACGACCACGACGCCAAAGAGGACGACGACGACGACGAACACGAGAAAAGACAGAGGACGACGTAGTCGACGACGACGACGACGCGGGAGGAGGGATGACGGCGACGACGACGACGACGGCGACGCAAGAGCGCGCGCGCACGCTTTTGTTGAAAATCCGTGTTGCGAAACCCTTGGTTTTCGTAGGTTTTTTGGACGCACGATTTCGAATTCCTTCCGAAACCGACGGGTTTTGAAGGTTTACGACATACGCCCGCGACGACGCGCGCGTCTGCACTTCGTTTCATTTTTTGCAAAGGCTTCTCGCGACGGCACACGCGCAAGGGCGTTCGACAGATTTCGACATGCGCGCGCGCGAAGCCCGTTTGGTAGCATGTTGTGAAAATCTTGAAAAACCTATGGTTTTCTTAAGATTTCGCAAAAGCTCGCGCGGAAGTTTTTTTAGCAAACCAGTGTTGCGAAACCATATGTTTTTGTATGTTTTTTGGAAAGTCGATTGCAAAATCCTTCGGACGCCGAAAGTTTTTGAAGGATTCCGGCATGCGCGCGCGACGACGCGCGCGTGTGCACTTCGTTTCTTTTTTTGCAAGGGATTCGTGAAAAAAGATTTATGTTAGAACAAAAGATGTCACCGCATAGTGTTTTTTACAAGGGAGCGTCAGGGAGGGAAACCGGCCTGCCTGGGATGGTATGGTTTCATATTTAGGATGGACGAGTGTGCAGAAAATATATGAAATCATAATATCCCAGGGGGAACCGATGAGTCCGGGGGGGGGGTAGAGTCTATTCTCTTTTTAGAAAGGAGAATAGATTTCTACCCATGATTTGACACATCCCATGCTCTTGCAAACATCCCACCCACCCAACCGCAAGTTGGTTTGCAAAACCTCTTCATACCGACTGCGACGACACCGACGACAACGACTACGACGACACCGACGACGTCTCCGACGACTTCGGCGACGACGACAACGACGACGACGAGAACGACGACGACACCGACGACGACGACGACGACGCCGACG